AGCCGAAGAAACAGCCCGCCTCTTCATCTCTACCGTCGTTCGACTGCACGGGATACCAGCATCAATCATCAGCGACAGAGACACGAAATTCACCAGCAACTTCTGGCGGAACCTGTGGCAGCAGTTCGGCACGCGACTACAGTTTAGTTCATCGTACCACCCCGAAACAGACGGACAGACAGAACGGACAAATCAGACCATGGAACAGCTCATCCGGGCCACGTGCGACGACCCAAACACGTGGGAACAGCAACTGCCACTCATCGAATTCGCATACAACAACGCCCCATCTGCCACGACCCAACAGTCACCGTTTTACCTGAATTACGGACAAGACCCAACAGTACCCATGACCCCGAATCCCGACAACCCGGTTCCACGCGCGCAACAGTTCGCCGAAATTTTGCAAGCAGCACGGACCAGGGCAGCAGACGCAATTAAAAAAGCTAACATCATCGCTAAACGCAACGCCGACCGCCACCGCAGACCTGTCACTTACCAGCCCGACGACTTAGTTTTGCTCGACACCCAAAATCTCCGACTGCCCATCACCCCGAAACTCCGCCCCCGATACTGCGGGCCATTTCGCATAAGCCACATGCTTACACCTGTCACCGCGCACCTCCTCCTCCCTGCTGACTGGTACGTCAGCTCCTCGTTCCACGTCAGCCTGCTTCGCCCTTACGTCCCGTCCACGAGCCAACTGCCACGCAATCGCCCAGCCAGCATGACAAGACCACCGACTGAACCAATCATCACCCCCGAGAAAATCCTGAGTCACAGAGTTCGCGACCCTCGAGGAGCCCGAAGGATCGAGTTCTTACTCCGCTGGAAGGACCGTACACCCACCGAAGACAATTGGGTTCCCCTGGACAGAATCGAAAACCACCCCGTCCTCACCGAGTATCTGCGCAGCCGGAATTTCAGGGATGTACACGCACTTTCGTAAGGAGGACATCCTTAAGGGGGGGGTAGTATAAGGAAAATCTCTTTTTCCTTACTTCGCGTCCCTGCTCAACGCGTACATCACTGTAGCACCACAGTCAGCACCGTTACCACTCGCAATCCTCGCATCGACAATCCGCCCGCCACCTTCGCACGTCGCACCCCGACCTCACGGCTCGGCGGGTAACCCGCGCTCCGGGCCTCCGCTTCGACACTTTTCCCAACCTCAGTCCCAGGCCCGTCGCGCGACAACCACAGTCCATTACCGTTACCACTGTAGTTTCGCTATATATTCTTCGCTCATGCCTTCGCTCATTGTACTCTTGCTTCGATAGTGCAATTCTCGTTCGTTCACTCAATTGCACTCGTAACACTTGGCTAAGAAATAAACTGTATGAGGATGGATATCAGTGTTCTGCTTCTGTTCGTACCCGCTATGAAAAGCATCTAGGCGTGCTCCTGAGAAACACCACCTCGCAGTCGTCACAGCACAGCACTCACCACCGCACAAGCCATTCTCGAAGCCGAATCGCCCTAGAGTTCCCCCCAACACAGCCCGGCTGCTGCGCCGTAGTGACACCAGTGTGTGCGGAGACGCACGAATCGCGTGATAGGACTGCGCTTGGGGGGACAGGGGCTGGGGCGGGCGGAAAGTCCCAATTCGTCAGTCAGGGGGAGCCTGCTTGTCAGTGGGAGGGCGCAGAAATGCGGCTCGTCGGTGGAGGAATTTCTGGCGGAAAGAAATATCGGAATGTCTGCCTGCACTGCCAACATTCTCTTGCGAACATCGGCTTCAATGGTGCTGGTGTGAGTTGGCACTGGCATGGCTCTAACTCCGTAGCTATTCTCAACAACAGACATATTTTCGGCTGAAACGGAAAATCAATGATTGCGCTTCACGGCTGCATGCCTTGAGACCGTCCGCCAGCGATATATTGCATAATATAATCTGCTTAAACGATCATTCAGTGAGCTCCTGTTTAGAAGCTGCCCCATAAGCGTGTGAGACGGACTGTGACCTCGTCTGCTCATAGAATACTCTCTATCAGATCAGTACTCTCCAAGTTCGCCATCCTCGTTCTCTCATCACAGAAGCGCAGTCACTGCAATGGGCGATCCACTTCTAAATAGAGTCCTACAAGCGTGCTGTTTACTGCTCGCCGTCTTTCAAGCAGTCCACGCTGCTCATTCACCGCTCTCAACCGACGATGGCGCCAACGTGACTCGTCGCATGGCCCTGGTGGGTCGACTACCTCGTTCGGCAGTTCCCCTAGCCGCGCCTCTCGGCTCGGGCTTCTGGTCCGTCAAGGGCAACCAGTTTGTCGACGCGTATGGCCGCGTGGTACGCGATCCCTGCCTTTCCTGCATTCCTACCTCTCTGCCTCGTTGACTCCATGCCGTGCCCTCCAGTAATCTCCATCCCGCAAAACCCACCGCGTTAATCCATTTTACTTTCTCCTTCATTCTACCTCCCTGCCTTTCATCGCTTTTCCTTTTTTCGGTCTCTGGTTCATTTCTCGGTTTCCCTCGTTTCCTCCCGTCGCTTCCTCCCGTCGCGCCTAATCCCTTCCCCCGCGTCTTCCCCCGCGTTTCCCCTTCGGGCAGGTGCGCTTCTCCGGGCTGATGTGGTCGGGGTTCGAGTCCGACGTAGCTGTCGTGCAGGGGCTGTGGGCGCGCAGCTACGATTCGTACCTCGACCAGATGCGCAAGCTGGGCTTCAACGCCATCCGCCTGCCCTTCGCGGGAGACGCGCTCGAGCCCGGCTGCTACCCCAAGAGCATCGACTACGGCAAGAACCCCGACCTGCAGGGCCTCAACTCGCTGCAAGTGATGGATAAGATCATCGCCGCGGCCGGCAAGCGAGGCATGAAGGTGATCTTGGATTACCATCAGCACCACCTGCTGCTGAATCTTCCCACCGAAGGTCTCTGGTACGACCCCACCACGCCCCCGAAAAAGTGGCTGCAGCGATGGATCATGCTCGCGAAGCGGTACCGTGGTAACCCGACGGTCATTGGCGCGGATTTGCTGAACGAGCCGCATTTCAACGAAAAGACCGCGCCGTTCCCCTCGCCGTACTGGGACGTGGAGGGAAAATACGAGAATCCTCCGCTCAACTTCCGCACCGCCACCAAAATGTGAGTCCCGCCATTGTTCCCTCGTCCGCCTTTGGTTTGTCTAGAGATCCTCCTATCCAGCTCGAAAATTTTAAGGTTATGATGCTTCCGCGAGCGCCGATCTTGCCCGTTTCCTGTGCTCAACCCTCTCCCCGTCCTCGCTCACCGTGCGCGTGTGCTCGCGTGCAGTGTGGCGGCGGCGATTCAGCGCGTGAACCCGGACTGGATCATCTTCCTGGAGGGCATGCACAACGACTACTGGTGGGGCGGCAACTGCCGCGTGCTCATGAAGGCGCCGCTAAAGCTCACCGTGCCCAACAAGCTTGCCTACACCGCTCACGAGTACGGCCCCTTTGTCTACTTCCAAAAGTTTTTCAACAAGACCGTCACGCCGAGTTTCCCGAAGAACCTGCCCGGGTTGTACAACCACCACTGGGGTTTTATTCAAAAGAAGGGGTACGCGCCGGTGTGGGTGGGTGAGTTTGGGTCGAAGCTGCCGCCTCCGGATTCGGAGCTGAACCGGGTGGAGCGGACGGTGTTCTTCACGCTCATCAAGTACATGAAGGCGCTCAAGGTGTCGTGGACGTTCGCCTTCTGGGGGCCGCTCAGCAAGGACACAGGCGGGATTCTTAACGACGACTGGTACACTGTGAGGCAAGACAAGCTAGATGCTCTCAAGCCTATCATGTATCCTAATTTTGCCTAGGAGCTGCTGAGCTGCTGGAGACCACACATGGGAGTGGGTTCTGCAGTGTCCTGGATTGGTGTGCTGAAGGTAATCGTCAGTGTACCTGGCCATGCGTTATTCTTGTTAGTCCCCTTAGGTGGTCTGCGAAAAAATAGTCCTTTTTGTTTGTTTGTTTTTTCTTTTTCTTATCATGCCCATTAGGGAAAGGCTAACCACAGTAGGTCAATGTTCAGATATATCGTGTAAAAGTTATACGTTCAATATAAATGAGGGAATGCGTCATTCTCTTCTGAAGTTGTATCGCGCTGTACTGTACATACCATACAGCACCGCAGGTTTGGTCCCAATAAGCATTAAATGCTTGTTGTCTGGCGTGTTCCGCCAGTTGAATAATGACAGGGTTCGACATTGATTTCATAGATTCTTCCCGATTTTTTATGCCTGCTGCTGCAACAGCAAGAGGCTGTCGGATATCGCTCGCTACTGTCACATAGCCAGTGAGAGGCCATGGTTTTTTCATCCAGGCAAACCTCCACCACACGCAGACCACACACACCATCACCCACCCCTGACCCTTTTGTTGCCACAATTTTCTGTTCCCTCCATTTACTGTACGAGCAGCCACTTTGTCGGTACACAGATAGATATTGATCTGGAATCTAACGCATCATTTGTCACTCAGATGGTTTAAAAAGGTTGTGTTGCGGATTGGGATTTATAGCGCGATGAAGTGCGTTACGTTGCCTCCTTCCCTGCCCCTCCACTGCCACTCCCGTCTCTCCAGCTTCCCAACACTGTAACTGTACATATTATCTTCTCCCTAAACTCACACCATGATTTCTGGTTGTGTGGTGGAGAGAAGAGAAGAGCAAAGACGGAGCATCCCCTACCTCACCCTCACAGAATCCGCTGCTCGTTTCCGCGTTCCGCCAGTCATCTTGTTAGGAGGGCGCAAACAACTCCTTCAACTGCTTGTGCCAGCTTGTATCATTTTCCGAGAGAAATAAATATCTTTTTACGCAATTCAGCCATACAGGTTGCATAAGCGCCCCTGCGGTCATTTGCCATAGCATTGCTAATTTCCTCTTTGGGCTAGTGAGCAAAAGAAGTTATCATACAGTATCTCGTTCGGACCTCTCTTACTGATTGGAATTTTAGCCGATTCCGCTTTTTCTTCTCGTCAGAATCTGCGCGGTCTTTCCGTTTCCGTTTCTTTCCGTTGCCATCCATTTAACCCTAATCGTTTGGCAATGGAAGTTGGCCCTCGAGTTCGAGCCAGCCACATGCCGGCGAGCAAGCCGACTCTGCTCCTCGATCTGCGCCTCACCAATGCGTCGGACGACCCGCAGCCCACCCGCTGCCGCAACTCCTCCTGGCACGACGCCGTATCCAATTCATTATTCGACGCGACGCGGAGAGGCGACTCGCTACGCGCGGACGCAAGTGCGGGCGCCACGGAGAAATCTGCCGCACCGCACGGCCCGGGGGTGACGTTTGGGTCGACTTCGACGCATATGAGAGGAACCGGCGCCCGGGAAAGCCGGGAGTGGCTGGAAATCGAGGAGGAGTGGAACGAGGAAGACGAAGGCGAGGAGGGCGACGATGCGGCGATGCTGGACGTCGACGCGTTTCTCGGGCGGCGGTTAACGCGCGAGCCGAGTTTTAGCATCGAGGACGCGGCGCTGTACGGCCTGCCGGGTGAGCATCTCCGCGTGCTCGTTGTTCGGCTGTCTGAGTTGAATTGTCTAATTATAGGGTGTCATTTTGCGTGTAAGTGTACCTTGTTTTCTTCTCCCGCGATCGCGATTGGACGTTATTTCTGGCGCGCATTGTCGTAACACGCGACCGGTGTTCCACCTTCTCACTCAATAGCTCTTTCCCTCCCCACCCATGCCTTGTGCGCGTGACTCTTCAGAGGAAGTGGCGACTCCGCGCCCCGCGTCAGCGCGATTCACGGCGAGCGACAGCGAAGCAGCGGCGCTCCGGCTCGCGGTGATGGAAGCGGAGGTCAACATAGTCATGGAGACGAACCGCCTCGTGTCCGCCATCAAATGCCAGCTCACCTCCCCCTACTCCACCATCCCGCCCCGCTCCCCTTCCGCCACGGGTACCACCTCCCCCTTTTCCCCTCCCCGAACCCGAACCTCCTGGGACTTCCGCTCCTTCTCCTCCCCTGCCTCCACACCCTCCTCCGCCTCCGCCTCCGCCCACTCCGCCCTCTCCCCCTGGCGCCGGAAAACCCCCTCAGTGTCCCCCACTGCTGGGTGGGCCTCGCAAGTACCAGAGGAAGAGACTGTGTTTGGTTCCCCCATGGCTGATCGCGCCATCTCTCGCTCCCTCACCTCCTCATCGCTTCTTCCCCGGCCGCGCTCGTCGCACATCACCCGCTCCCACACGGCATCGTGCGACCGCCTGCCTGCGAGCTTCGTGCCTCGCAGTGAGTCCAACTGCTCGGCGACTTCCTGTGCTGATCGGTCACCGTTTGGTGGTGTGGCTGGTGGCGGTTGCGAGCGGAGCGTGTCGCAAACACGCCTCCCGTCGTTTTCGAATGGGACGGGAGGAGCTCCTGTGAGGAAGATGCTGGGGGCGTTGAGGCGGCAAATGAGCTTGCCCAGTGGCAATTGGCTGCAACACAAGCCATCAAGAAGAGAATCCGTGGCTAGTCATAAGGATGAGTAGCACAGCAGTATGTTGTTTTGCAACTGCTTGAGGTGGGCGAAGTGAAGTCAGTTGCTGTGAACACCAAAATTGATAGTGCTTTTGTGTAGATTTTTATTCCACTAACGAATCTGAGCTCACACTGGTTTGAGCGATCGTTCAGGAAAGTGAATCGAACTGTACCGCGCATAGTGTTGCAAGCAGGGCCCAAAATTGGTTTAGGCCTACCCTTACGAATCAGGGTACCAGCCCCTCCTTAGCCAGACCCCTAGGGTAAATTTTTTCATACCCGGTTTCAGCAGGGTAAATCTACCACTAGCCGGATTTGAGCAGGGTAGTTTTAGGCTAAGCCTGTTTTTGTATCAATTTTGTATCTATTTTGGCAGCCTCGACAGGGCCGTTTCTTCCACGGGGCGGGCCGTGTTATGGCCAGCAAGGCAAGCCAGCACTGAGGCTGCAAGTTGTTGTTAAGGACAGCTTGAAGCTGTCCTTGACAACCAATTCTGCTGTGATGGCGGTGGGCGTGGCGATAAGTGACGTGGTTCAATAATCGTTGGCGTGCTGCCAAGTACGAAGCAAGTTTCCATGCGCGTGGGCACGAGCGACAACGGGTGTTTGTGGGGGTGTTGTACGTGTTTGTCACCACGCGAACTATTGTCTGATTCGCGTTAGAAAAGATTCACTAACAGGGTAGTGTACACCAAACCAGGCCCTCAGATTCACTTCGAGGGACGTAGAGGGATCAGGGTCCCTCTGCGTGAAATCCCTGATTGACAGTGTCTTTTAGAAAAAAAAACCTGAAAAATCAGTGTCACTAAAAAAAAAACCCTGAAGCATCAGTGTTTTCTAAGAAAAAAGGCTGTTTTTACAAAACCACACGGCTGACTGCCTCTTGGTACACCAGGCAGGAACGCGAGGAAACCCCCCGCGAGTGAAAAAGCACGGGGCAAATTTGTCTCGTAGTCACCACCAGGCAGTGCTGACACCGCGGGAATCTGAGATTCCCTGTACTTCCGGGCAACTACACTTGAAACGTGTAGAAATCGCATTCAGTGTCAGTTTCGGTACAACGTAGTGGAATCAGTGTCGTTAAACAAAAAAACCTGAAAGTTCAGAGTCATCTGGCAGGAAAAGGCTGAAAAAAGAGTCCCACAAAAAGCTGAACACTGGAAAATCAGGGTAGGTACAAAAAAATCCCTGAAAATCAGGAATTTCAGGAAAAAAATCCTGATATCGTAGGGCCTGCACCAAACCCTGATTCCGCCAGGGTAAGCTAAAAATCTAGCAGGGTAAAATAAAACATGCTCTTTTAAGAGAAGGGTAACTTTTGCGCAATCCTGATTTAGGCAGGGTAATCCTGAAAAAGCGGCCGGCCCCCAGGGTAATCAGGGTGTTTTACCCTGATATTTTGGGCCCTGGTTGCAAGCACCCATGGTCTAAGCTGGTAGGAGACGTTCCTCACTCCAAAATTTTCTTCCTTCATCCCTTCCACAATCACCCCTTCACGAAATTCTTCTCTTCACGGGTCTGCATTCCAAAGCCCATCGTTGCAAAAATGTCGCACTCCCCTCCGCCTCCCACAACCTCGGAAGTTCAGTCTCCTCACCCTCTGCTTTGTTGCCGCGTCAGCCTACATGCCAGGACCATTGTCCTCTGGCTTGTGTTTATCCAGGTTTGTGCAGCGACAGGTGAGTCAAGCTGTTTCTATGACAGGTTGTCGGTGGTTGCTTTCTGTTCGGTGTTTGCTTCGGTGTTTGTAACTTTCTTGCAGGGTAGGTTTTTGGCAACCCAGGTGTTTTGGTTGGGTTCTGCTCGGTTCTTCTGGTTTGTTGTTCCCTGCTCGATTGAGTTTCGCGTTTTGGTTTCTCGCCATTCTCACCGCTCTGTGCTCCGGGCAGCCGCGCTCTTTTCTGGCTATGGATGCCTCATCGCCTCAAGGCTCCTTGGTGGTTTCCACTCCATTCTCTCCAGTCGTTGCAGCTGGAACGCTCTTCCTCTGGTTCCTCTCCTTGGTGTCTCCCTGCTCTGCACTGTCTGGTTCCATGAGAGGTTTTACGTTCCTTGCAAAAACCTTCGTGACAAGTTCTGGTTAGGCCACGATCACGCTCAGCCATGCACGTCTGTTAAGGTGACACGTTGCATAGCAACGGTGTGGTCTACTGCTGCTTCCCTCCATGCACGCCTCGCGACTCCTCTACTCCTTGCTGGATCCTTGCTGGTTACTGTGAGCCGAGGCCATTGCCAGAGCCACACCCTTCCCTTACGGGATGTGGGAACAATTTCTGTCCTCGGTTGGTCGCGATCCGTCGCACCAACTCTCTCACCTCTTCCTCGTCGAATCGCGTTCCCATGCTACAAATCGTCGTATCATGACACTTCCTCCTTACCACCTGGCGCAATGGGTTCCCGGCACAACACCGACGAGCTTATGGGCGAAGAGGAGCTCGATGCCTCCTTCTCGGTCGACTCATTTTTCGCCGAAGAAGCTGCCACACCTGCTGTCTCGGCTCCTCCCCCCGCTAAGCGCGTCTGTGCTGCCGGATCCTCCAGTTCTGCGCCTGTGGCTCCCCCTGTGGCTTCGGTGTTGCCGCCTGTCACCCCGGTAACGGCTCCCATGGCTGGTCCCTCCACGGCAGCGCCTGCTCCCTCGGCGTCTACCCAGGATGCTAACCCTGTTATTGCCCTTGCTATTACCGGTTGTTACTCACGTCTTCGACGTAACCGTGACTCTGTGGGAGTTGTTGTTGCGGCCCTCGCCCGCGACACTGATGCTGTTGTTGTTCTTCTCTTCCCTAAGGCCCTGGAAGCCCATCGCAGCCGGATCATCACCCGCGTCCGTAGCATCCTCCGCGGGCGTGATTTCGCTGGTGGTCGCGTCCCTGTGTTCGAAGCATCTGCTGGTGATCTCCTGCGCCTTCCCCGCAAGTCGTACTGCCGCCACACAATTCAGTGGCCGACGGTTGACGATGCGAATCGCTTCAAGCGCATGCTCCCGATCACATACCGCTCCTCCGAAGGACCAACGGCCGAAATCAAGGTTTTCCAGGATCCTGCCCCGGACTTCTCGGCGGCCAAGGCCCGCGGCGAGACGGTTCTGATTCTGCGCAACGTTCCTGTGGGGTTTGCTGTCCGCACGCTCCACTTCTTGCTGATGACTAGCTCCACGGAGGGGGTTCGCTGGCTTGGTGACCTTCTTTTCTTCCACAAGCTATTTGATCCTTACGAGGAATCATTCTTACCTCAGATGCTTGGCATTGCTATTGCCTCCCCTAACGACCCCCTCTTTGAAGCCATCCCTGCTGTCATATGGGTGCCAGGAGTTCAGGAACCTATCCTGGTGAATGTGTCTTCGCACTCATGCGCTGTGTGCACTAGTAACCATCGTACGCGCGACCACAGCAGCTTCGCTGCAGTGAGGAGGAACCGCATCGCTAATCCGTACCTCATCACCATGAGGCAGCTCCAGAATGTTAATGGTAACTATTTCCATGTGTGCTTCCATCTGCTCCTTCGACTGCTCTGCTGGTTCCTTGTATTAACCCTCCCAAGTATCGCCTTCCCCTTTTGCTCTTGTTCTTGGTCGCAACCTGCCTGTTGGTGTTCCCCCTGGATTTGCTCGTTCCTGGCCTTGCTCTGTCTTTTCTCCTGCTCTCTCTACTCCAATCTCCTATCGTGGGTCCCAGTGCCGCTCCCTACCTGCCCCCCTGCCTTTTACACCCAGGATCATTGGCCAGCACCCCGTAGTGGCTTCCTTCAAGGCCGACCCTGGTACCTTCTTCATTGGGACGGATCTCGAGGTGGAAGTCTGGTCTTGCGCTCTGTGCTCTTTCTGCTGCGGTTGGGCTTTGGACAGTGTGATGGAGCATATTGCCAGCCCCGCTCATCAGAACGCTATCCAGCTGGCTTCTGGCAACATCACGCCCCTGGAGGAGTACGGGGATGTGAAAGCCCATGTTTTCAATCAGAACGGGACGATCGCCACCTTCCTTGTGCAGGGTTAGGAGGCTTCGACGGTTGGAAATACAGTGTGTACCCCTTGTATTCCAATAATCCTATACTGTTGTATCTGCAGTTGCTGTCTATACAATTCGGTTGGGAGTAGTCATTGCTGTGTGATTTCCCTGTCGGCTCCTCCTCAAGGTGCCTCTTTCTCCTGCCCCTGTGGATGTGTGCTTTTCGGAGCACATGGGGCCCTCCTCTATGATCATTAATGGATATACACTTCAAAATACAGTGCATCAATGTCAACGGTCTAAAGTCTCCTAAAAAACTTGATGTCTTGCGCTCTTGGTTCACAAGGAATCCTGTTGATATCCTCGTGCTCACTGACACCCGTCTGACCTCCAATTTTTCACATCTTCTTTTCAAATTAAAACCTAAAGCATATGCTCAAGTTCCCCCTCGCCTGTCCTCTTCCTTACAGGCTAAACCTGGCGGCATCGCTGTTTAATCTTCCATCCGAGTGTTTCCATTTTCACCAGGGCATCCTCTGGTGATGGAAGGTGCTTATATCTTCACTGCAACTTCCTACATGAACAGTTCAGGCTTCTCGCCATCTACGCCCCTAACAACTATCTTGACAGGCGTGCCTGGTGGACCAACACTGTGGCGCACTACCTAGAGCAACCCCCCGCCAGTTCTGGAACAATTCTTACCGGCGACTTCAATGCCGTGGTGTTACCCTTGGACAGGAATCGGGACCTGAAACCAGTGGAGCGCACAGAGGCAGCTTTATTAGAGGATATGCTCAAGAAACACTTTCTTATTGACTGCTACCGGCACAAGTTTCCAACCAAAGCCATGTTTTCCTTTTCCTCCCATCAAAAAGTTCTGCCTTCTGGATCTGCCCCCCCCTCCTCCCAACCTTCCCTCCCCAGGCAGAATGCTTGCTCTCCTGTTTCTGCCCCCTCCTCCTCCCGCCTTGACAGAACGTATATGGCCATTGGGCCGATCGGATCCATCATGTGTCTTATACCTCTGTTCCCCCTCCTCTTTCTGAGCATAATCGTGGGCCTCGAGTGGCCTTCCGGTTTCGGAACCCCAATATGGCCCCTAGGCCTTGACGGCTCCCGCATTCCCTCATTCTCAAGCCTTTTGTCGGTGCTCACCTAAAACAGGTTTCTCAGGAACTCAGACCTGGGTTCACCATCGAGGAGTGGGACCACTGGAAGGAAAGGCTTTGTCGTCAACTTCAGTGGTACGGTAAGGAGGAAAAAACCCGGGTAAGGAAGACTATGTCTTTTCTAAGTGATGAGGCATGCCGCCTTCAGCTTCACCTTCTCAAAAACCCTTCTGACCAGCAGGGAGCCGCCCGCTTATCCCTTCTCACTTCTAGCATGGAGTCTTATGAGCTCTCTCGTGCCTCCGAAATCGCGCTCAAGGCGAAGCTCAAGGTGGAAGGCTCTAGAGAGATGGGGGTCTCCTCTCTTCTCGTTGGTCTTCAGGGCCGCATCAAAGATTATTTCATTCCACATCTCAAGCTCCCCTCGGGTGAGATTGTCTCTGACCTGCAAGGCACGTCCAAGCACTGCACCGAGTACTTCTCCACTCTTTACAATGGTCTCTCTCCAGTCTCTCGTGACCCTTCGTTCTGGAATTCAGTGCGCACCTCTGTGCTCCCCTCTTCCTGCTCTGCCCGTCTGGATCTTCCATTTTCGCTGGCAGAGATTGAGTCGGCTCTGGGGCGGCTTTCCAGGGGTAAAACCCCCGGGCCTGATGGCCTCACTGGGGAACTGTTTCGCTCCTATAAAAGCCTATTTGCCCCTCTGTTTCAAACGTTGTGCACCTCTATTGTCTCCCAAGGGCAAGTTCCCAAGTCCATGGAAGCCGGCAGGACGGTTCTCATCCCCAAGCGTGGAAGTACGGAGCTTGTATCAAACCTGCGGCCTATTACGCTGATGAACGTGAATTACAAGGTTCTTGCCCTTGTCCTTGCCTCCCGTTTAGAAGCTGTTCTTCCCAAAATCATCAACCCCGCACAGGCTGCGTTCATCAAAGGTCGGCGTATCGGCGATACAATCAATGATACATTGGACCTCATGGAGTGGGCGATCGCTCAAGGTGACCCACTCCTCGTTCTCACGGTGGATATTTGGAAGGCATATGACATGGTCGATAGGCAATTCCTTTATGACTGTTTACGTCATCTAGGGATTCCTCCCGGTTTCATTCGGTGGGTATCCATGCTCCACTCCAACACCTCCACCAGGGTATCGGTCAACAACTTCTCTGGCCCCCTGTTCCCCGTGCGCTCAGGTGTGCGGCAGGGCTGCCCCCTTGCCCCTCTCCTCTTCGTCTGTTTGATCGAGGTCATGCAGAGGTACTTACACTCCTTCATCCCTGGCTACGCCTTCAACCAATCCCAACGTCGGCTTGCAGCCTGCTATGCTGATGACGTGTCAATTTTTCTCAATTCTGACTCTGAACTGCAGGTAACCACTCAGGTTCTCCAGAACTTTGCAACCATGTCTGGGGAGCACCCGAATTGGGAGAAGTGCTCTATTATCCCCATTAACATGCACAACACCCCGTTGCTCCATGCAGGTTCAATTCCTATAAGGGGTGCCGATGAGCCCGAGCGGATCTTGGGAATTTACGTGGAACAAAGTCAACCCGGGGCCACCACTTGGGACAACATCATCCTTCGTATTCGAGGCTGCACCAAGCTGTCGGCTCAATATTAGGCCACAACCACATGCCGATCCCTCTTGTCCACGGAAAGACTGGCCTCCCTATATGCATTTGGTGCTAGGTTTCAACCCCCCCCTTCCCTCATACTCACAATGCTTGACCGTGTTATTGGTATCTTCCTCTCCAACTCCCGTTACAAGGAACATGGGCTTGCTACGAGGCTCATCCCCAAACGGATCCTATATAACAAGAAGAAACATGGAGGCGTTGGTGCTCTGGAACCCTCTGCGCACATTCGTGCCCTCACCATCCAACGGGCTGTAAGAAGGTTTCACGCGTCGCCTTATGAAGATGTTGCTCACTCCTGTGTTCCTGTGCCTTATGGCCTTCACTGTTACCTTTCTCACCCGTCCATTGTCAAATTTCTCCCCCCTCAGGTCCCGGCCAGGTTCCGTGCTGAACTTGAAGCCGTTTTACCACTACCTTCTGCAGTTAAGCCGCCTCGTCTGGACCCCTGGAGCCTCATGGCCGAACCTGTCGCCTTTAACAGGTTCATATGCAAGGAACGGGATGTTCCGTTCGGCCGCCTGAAGAATGAGTTGTTTCTGCTTAATGATCAAATCCGCTTTGGGAACCTCCTCATTCCCACTCGTACAGGTGCAAGGCGGATGGAAGAAGACGAAATCTTTGAAAAAATCCCCCCCTTAGTGTACCCTGGCAGCAGGACACTCATTCTCACTATCTTTGATGCCATCCCTCTCAGTTGGTGGGCTACGATACGGAGATTCTCCCCGAGCAGAAGATACCTGGCTGTCGATGATTGGGTGTTGGAGGCTAAAAAGACATTCCTTCCTAGCAAGATCTTTCGTGTGTCCGCCCTTCTGCCAGATTTCAAAGCACTTGTCAACATTTTCAGTGTGCATCAAGGGAGACAGGTGGCAACCGTGAGTGAAGGAAGCCGCACCATCACATTCAAGGAGGTCATCCCAGTTCACGTCAAAGGACGATGGCTAGCCAGTCCCTTCGATCACGGCCCTGCCCTCGGCTCTCGCCATGAACTCTTTGCGGGAACTCCCTCGCTCGCGGATATCAGGAACCTAATCTAATCACTTGGAACGCTGGAATGCTGGAATGTCATAGTCCGGGATCCCATTCCCTTTCTTCCAGACTACCATCATTCATTCCTCAAGGACCAGCCCTCACAATACCGTGATGTTCTCTTTCGACTCTTCACCCTCACGCTGCCGTCCGGTTCCAGATACCGCTTCACCTCCACCGGGGGCGCCTGCCCTCGTTGTGGTCCCCCCTGGATTGAAGACCTACCTCACATGTTCTTTGACTGTGGGCATGCGCCGGCGGTTGTCGAGTCAATACAGCGGGTGGCTAGTCAACACCTTCTCGCATCAGTTGAACCGGCGGCCGTCTTCTTTGCGATGCCTCACCCATCCAGCCTCATCGCTCCATGGTGTCTGCTCGTTGGTGCTGCTGTCACAACCCTCTGGAGAGATCGTTGCTCTTCTCACTATGAGCAGACTGTGTACACCCGACTTGAAACTCTTCATCGCATCCTGGCCCTCTTCTTAACTTCCTGTAAAATCTACTTCAGTCGACGGGCTAAATGGTCTGATAAAAAGAAGCGCGCTACGAAAAATCGTCTCCATGCTGCCGTCTCACTTAAATTCCTTACTTTCGGGTCGGATGGCACCCCGCAGCTTCATCCAGCTCTGCGAGAGTCCTGGCTGTTGAACGATTCTTTTCATCCTCCGTAGAAGCTGCTCAGGTTTTAGCTGTGCAACCCGATAAAGGCTTTGGCCTTCATTCTATCCTTGATAGGCAAGTAACGCTGTTATAAGAGTAGGTCTTTTAGACCTTGGCTTTTTGCCATGCTTGTGGTGTTGCACTGTATGCGGTTACGACCATAATAAAAACTTAAAACTTAAAACTTAAAACCTCACTCCAAAATTTGTCTTGTCTTTCGTGGATGTACGTTACCTCGCCGTGTCGTCGTTGCGATCTTGCGCCTAATTTTCCGGCGCACGCGGTCTGCTGAGATCCCAGCAACGCAGAGCGTTCGCCGGCCAGCTCGTTGCCGGAAGGAACTGATGTGTGATTTTTGCGCAACCGCGAACCATGGAGTTAAGGTCGCGAGGCGTTTCGGAGTGGTAGCACTGGGGGGATCTTAGGTTATATAGAGTCTGTCTTACGATAGGCATCATAATTAGGAGTGTATTCATTCGTGCGCGACATAGGGCTAAGCTTTACGCGTCGTTTCGGGTTATACCGTCGATTTCGTTTCGCTCGTTTCGTTTCCGTCACGTTGCCAGGCGAAACAGGTGCCCTAGAGGCATTAACCTAGGAATTTAAAGCCTGCTTCAAAGCTTGAGTAGCAGTGAGAACGACTCGAAGGAGGCGTAGGGGCGAGACGACCGTTGAGGCGCTAAGAAGTCGTGGTCAAGTGGGGGAGGCAGAGAGCGCAGGAAGGAGGAGGAGGGGCGAAAGGTAGGAGGAAGTAGCGCGGCCGTCCATCGCCCGTCGTTCGGCGTGCGGCGTGCGGTTTGCTGCGTGTGGCGTGCGGTTTGCTGCGTGCGGCGTGCGAGGAGGAGGCATGGCGTCTGCGGGAAGCCAGCAGCAGCAGGTACAGCGTGCCCGACTCGCTGCACCATGGCCCGACTCGCAGCGTTACAAGTTACCACCACAGGCGATGCTCGCAGCACCATGGCGCGCGCCTGTTGCGGAATTACGCGCTGCGCTTGTTGCGGCGGAGGAAATCGCGGGGCTGAAAGGGCGCGCGTGGCGACCAGCGGGGCGGTGCTGCGGAAGAAGCCACTGGGTGGCGCATGCGCGCGCTCTCCCGCATGCGCGCACTCATGCGCTTGCTCATCCGCGCGCACTCCGCACCACACCTCTCCCCTCGCTCCTCTCTCCGCTCTCGTCCCTCGCCCTCGCCCCGTCGAGACCTCCCCGCACCGCATTCCCCCCTGAGAGGGTTTTTGAGTCGCATAGCGGATCGCTTCATGTTGACACGGCGCTCGTCCTATTTCGCACTATCTCCCCTGTTCCCACAGCTGCCCACACGTCTCGAGAACAGGGCTTTGAGTCGCATAGTGGAGAGTCGTTTCTAATTTTCTCTACACTCTTCCCGCCTCACCCCCGAGGCAGGGCTTGAGTCGTATAGCGGCGGGGCGGCTGCACAAGGAGCTGGCGGAGTGGCAGCGCAACCCGCCCCACGGATTCGTGTACCACCCCAGTGATAACCTGCAGAGGTGCGGTGCTGCATGGGGGGAAGGTTGGAAGGGAGGTAGGGGGGAGGGGGTTGGGATTAACACACCTCAGAAGGGAGCTGGCGGAGTGGCAGCGCAACCCCCCGCATGGCTTCGTGTACCACCCCAGTGACAACCTGCAGAGGTGCGGTGCAGAGGGGTGGGGAGGGGGAAGGGTGGGTGCCGGCCAATGTGACAACCTGCAAAGGTGCGTGGTAAGGGGTGGGGTGGTGGTGGTGAGAAGGGGAATGCAATTAGAACGGAGACTGACCGAGTGGCAGCGCAAACCCCCCCTATATACCACCCGAGTGACAACCTGCAGAGGTGCGGTGCAGAGTGGTGGGGAGGTAGGTAAGGGAGGGGGTTGGGAGGAAGTGACAACTTGCAAGGGTGCCCCTCGGCTTTCCTTCCCTCTGCTCGTTCTCACCACCCCTCTCCTCTCTCCTTCTTTCCCCTCTCCCCTCTTCGCTCTCCTCCCCTCTTCGCTCTCCTCCCCCTCTCCCCCTCTCCCTTCTGGCGTGCATACATACCGTGCATGTGGGGCAGATGGAGCATAGACGTGCACGGGGCAGCGGGCACGCTGTATGCAGGGGAGGTGTTTCAGCTGCAGGTCGACTTCCCCTCCAACTACCCACTCGAAGCCCCTCAGGTGCGCGTCTCCTCTCGCCGCCCTTAGCTGCCCCTCAGGTGCGCTTCTCCTCTCACCGGCCTTAGCGTGGTTTGAGACGTCTCAAAGCACGTGTTTCAGCTGCAGGTCGACTTCCCCTCCAACTACCCCCTCGAGGCCCCTCAGGTGCTCCTCGCACTGGCCTTCCTTGCTTGCTGCATCCATTGCATTCTTCTCCCCTCCTGCACCCTCTCCTGCACCCTCAGCTTTATTCTCTCCCGCACTGCACCTGTCGTTGTTCCAGCATGCTCGCGCCTTGTCCCTTCTCCTCCTCGCTTCCACCTTCCCGAATCCCACCTCCACAATCTCCTATCTTAATCCAAGTCAACTTGAACCAACCCACACCAGCCCACTCCAACGCAACACAAATCAACTGAATTCTTCCCAATCCATCGCATCCCGACCCGCAGGTCATATTCTCGCGCAACCCACCAGTGCACCCACACATCTACAGCAACGGCCACATATGCCTTGGTAGGCCACATATGCCTTGGTAGGCCGCATGTGCATTGCCATGTTTCATGTCTGACTGTGTTATCGCTCGGTATGTGCCAAACGCCTTGGGTTGGCACATACCCATTTAATCCTACAACCATGCATCACATACCTACACCATGCCTCATAGTCACCTGCCGGCCATGTGCCGTCATCCCACCTCACCCTGCCCACATGCCCCGCACCGCACCCCACCGGTGCATCCTGCAGACATCCTGTACGACTCGTGGTCGCCTGCCATGACTGTCAGCGCAGTGTGTCTCTCCATCCTCTCCATGCTCTCCAGCTGCAAGGAGAAGGTATGTTCAGTGCAGAGTACCACACCTCCGCGTGCCTCACCATGCCTCCGCGTGCCTCACCATGCCTCCGCGTGCCTCACCATGCCTCTCCATTCTCTCAATGCTCTCCAGCTGCAAGGAGAAGGTGCGCTTCCCTTCTCTCTACAGCAAGACAAGGTATGTTATGTGCAGTATGTGCCTCTGTGCCTCTCTGCCCCTCTGCCCCATCTGCCTCTCTGTCCTCTGCTCATCTCTCCCCCCCTCCCTCCATCCAGGTGAGACCGGCAGACAACGATCGGTACAGTCGCCCAAGAACACTTCTGGAAAGTCGTCTCTTGCTCACTGTCCCCTCTCCCCCCACACTCCCTCCACACCCCCCTTCCCTGCAGGTGAGGCCGGCAGACAACGATCGGTACGTGCAGCGCAGCGGCCAGTCCCCCAAGAACACGCGCTGGTGGTTTCACGACGACCAGGTGTAGGGTACAGTGAATTCCGTAGGAAGATGCTGGAAAGGGACAAACCAGTACTAGAACGTAGTATGTACGGTAATGTATAGTTGTCGTGTGAGGTCGTGATGCTGGTATGGCTAGAAAAGCCGACGACATGATTCGACAATCTTAGTGAGCTGACGGTATTCATACATCCAGCTGGATTTATGACAAGCTGACGGCATTGTCCGCATGGAAGTTACAACAAAGCCAAAACATATAAATCTAAAAGGAGGGTGTGTCAATCTCCATCACCTGGACAAAAGAATTGGGCCTACCGTATGAACATTTGCTCTGCAAGTTGTTAATGCATCTCTATTATATGATTCTAAATCAATCAGCAACCCCCTCCTCTATTATATGTATATTTGTACAGTCCATTTCGCTATGCACAAAGCGCATACTTTTGGTTCAGAACGCTGCTGGATGCGGAAACTGCCATGTCATAAGGCCCTGTTCGGTAGCCTTCCAGTCACACTGGGCCCACTCGAACTGGGGAAGCCTACGACATGTTTCGTAGCCTCGGGCGTCCACTAACACTGAAAGGAAGTCTCGTCCACATATGCAAGAAGTTACCGTGTGTTTCTCGAAAATTTACTGGTCGAAACTTTTACTTCTGTACGAGGCTGCCCAGATCACAAACAAAAAACAGCCCGCCAAATGAAGCACCCTCGATATGGATAAAAGAAAATCACGAACGGGCACGATCTCTCATCGTTTGAACGAGCGAGCTGAAAAACATAATTTGACCCGATTCGAAACTAATGCAGCGTTTACCCTACAGCGTGCCACTCAGAGAGGGCCTGCCTGAGTGGAACTGGAAAGCAGAAATGGGGTTGACTTTCACTGGCGGTCGAGCTTGCCTGAGCAAGCATTTTCGTGGTAGCGTCCTCAACTTCACTCGGTCTGGGTTTTTCACGCGTTCGGTAGCCAACTTGCACTGGGCAGGTATGGTGTTCTAATAACGGTTTGGTGGGCTTTAAGGTGAGTCAAAATTGGGCGGAGGAAGAGCACCTGCACCAACCGCAGTGTGACTGGGGGGGCTACCGAACAGGGCCATGAATTTCTTGCGCTCTGATTGGTAAGAGTAGGAAATGCCCTTATCAAGCAGAGCAACCTGTCTCCACTCAGATCGGTATCAGAGGAGTTACCAGCCAGTTCGTCAGGAGGGAGCAGCCACGAATTTTTACCAATCCGGAAGTTCGCCACTACGAAAGCCCATCCGTTACCCCAACTGGTTGTCTCGCCAACCTGCCTCGCTCGCGTAGTCTCGAGTTACCAGGCAAGGGAGGGAGAGATGCTTCAGGCAGGCAGGGGGGTCACAACACTATTCGGAAAAGTGGAACGCGCGCGAAAGATAGCGAAGTGACGGAACGGGCGGTAGATTTTGAAAATCTACGGTCGAGATTCACATGGTTCATGTTCCCCTCAAATCCTTCATTTTCGGGAACACGTCGGACGCTTTCTGTTTCGATGCAGCCACTTAGTCGGCGAAGTTAGACCCGACCATTGTAAGACGATCAATCTAGAACCGTCAGATCTCAGTTGTTCGAGAACTGGAGGCGTTGGCAGTTTGGAGGGGGTGACTCAATCCCAGATCCCTCCTCTCATTCTGTCATTTCTCAGCCGTTGTTCACTCAATTTCTCTCCAACCAGGCTCGTTCTGCTCGTCTTCAGCCGAATACCTGAGAATCTGAGTTCATTTTTCATCGTCCTGCTAGCGAAGCTATTATATTTTGGAGTTTCGCTATTCTCCACTCTCTCCGTTCGTGAAGACAATCTTTGAAATTGGGATGATCGCAAGTAGACGGGATTCACCATCCCGTCGTCAATCTGCAACTCACCTATTTTTCGGTGAGTAATTCGTCGCGAATTTGTCATGCGAGCTGATTCCATATTTTATTTGTTCCCCTTCACAACCTTATCTGACCAACTTCTTCCTTGTTATACAGGTTCCCTTGGCGTTCATCCTCGATTTCACTTCGATTGTCAACTGCTTTCACATATTCGCCAGGCTGCGACCAAGTCGTCGCCATTTTGTTATCCAACGAATCTTTGTAAGTGTTTCGCCGATTTCGTTTTTCACCAGTTTCAGTCCGTTTAGACATGTTACTTTAGTAAATTCGTAGTCGACCTTGCAGCCAAATCCTTCCCAACGTGCATTTATTCCCGTTAATTTGGATACCACCATCTCGTGCTTCAATAACGTCGTGATTGGTTGTCATTTCGCTGTCTGCTCGCCTTTCAATGTGCAGTGCGGACAGCAGCAGTGATGGCAGGCGGTGCTGAGCGAACCGTTCGTGGCAGCAGCAGTGGCAGCACCGGTGGCCTCTGCATTTGCTCTGAATCCGCTCTGTGCCTGATCGTCGAAGGCTAAGTGCTCTCAACCCCTGCACCTTCCACATTCCATAGCGCATGCTTCTTCATACCATGCACCCCCTCGCAACTCGTTCATTTTAAAATCCAACCGTTGCTAGCAGCGCAGTGCACAGGGCACAGACCAGCCCCCACAGCCCTCAGGTGAAACCCCCATTTTCCAGGTAAAGCCTACACGCCCCAGGTTAGACCCCCTTTTTCGTTCCCAGGTTAACCCCTTTTCCCCCTAAGGTCTGTGCCCTGTGCTCGCTGCTGCTGCAGCAGCGGCTCCACACCCACAAGCCAGCGCACACGCCATGCATACCGCCTCATTTCCTCTCATTTCCCCTTCATCTGCTCATCACTGATGCTGGTCAATCCTCTGCTTCAGTTTGTATCGTTTCCATCTGTCCGCTCACCCAGCGCGCTGCGCCCACCACCTCTTATCTCCTCGTCTCTATGTGTCTTTTCCCTTCCCTCCCTCTCCCCCCACTCCCCCCCTTTTCCCTACTTCCCAGGGTTTGTCGCCGAGGCAGGGCTGCCAGCAGTGGGAGCATCGGCATGGGAAAGGGAGCAGCGAGTGCCACACCTGCCTCGAATCATCTCTGCAGCAACCTCGTCAGAAGCTAAGTGTTCTTCCTCCAAGGTCCTCACTCCTCCTGTCTGTTCAGCTCTGTCTCACATGCTCATGCCGCCGTCTCTGCTCTCGCTGCAAGGGGACACGCCGAGGGAGTTAGTCAACCACCTCCCCTGGTAACGGGTGGTAGGTTCAGGTGGAGGTGGTGTCAGGTACTCACAGCCCCAGGTGTGGTATGGTACCACGTGGTAGACCCCTTCGGCCGTTTCCCCCTTGCAGCCAGAGCTTTCGCCTTTCCTGGTCGTCTGCTGCTTATTTCTCTTCTGCATCTTGCTCCTTCCACCCTTCTTCCGTGCACTCACTTCGTCCCTATCTTGCCTCCCTTCCTGCAGGTTAGTTGGCGGCATGGGCAAGGGAGCAGCGAGTTCCTCACTCACGCCACCTGCCTCACGTCTGCACCAACCTCGCCCGAAGCTAAGTGCCCTACCCTCAGGTTCTCACCTTCTCTCCTTCGAGTTCCGTTCTGTCTGCATGCTCATGCCACCGTCTCTGCTCTCGCTGCAAGGGGACACGCCGAGGGAGTCAACCACCTTCCCAGGTAACAGGTGGTAGGTTCAGGTGCAGGTCGCCTCAGGTGCTCACAGCCCCAGGTTTGGTATGGTATGGTATGGTACCTCGTGGTAGACCCCTTTTTCGTGTCCCCCTTGCAGCGGAGCTCTCACCATCCACTATCGTCTTCCCTGGTCAAATGCTGCTTCCTTCCCTTCTGCATCTTGCTTCCTTGCACTCACTTCGTCCATATCTGCCCTCCTCCTCCCTCCCTCCAGGTCACTTGGCAGCATGGGGAGGGGAGGCATGGGGAAGGAGGCAGGGGCGGCAGCAGAGGTTGCAAGTGGGATGCTGGGAGCAGCGAGCGCCTCACTCACGCCACCTGCCTCGAATCGTCACTGCAGCAACCCATTCCGAAGCTAAGTGCTCCACCCTCCCTTTCCCTTCTGCGTGTCCTTACATCATGTTTTGTCTATCTTGCATTCTCATGCACCCACCGCTGCTCTTGCTGCAAGAGGACACCCCCAGGGAGTCAACCACCTCCCCTGATAGGTAACAGGTGGTAGGTTCAGCCTAAGGTAGGTAGCAGGTGCAGGTCGCCTCATGTACTCACAGACCCAGGTGTGTTATGGTACCACGTGGTAGGCACCCTCGGTCTTGTCCCCCTTGCAGCAGAGCTTTCATCATCCACCATCATCTTCCCTGGTCGAATGCTGCTTGCTTCTCTTCTGCACCTTGCTTCCCTCCACTCACTCCGTCTGTACCTGCCCTCCTCCTCCCGCCCTGCAGGTCACTTGGCAGGATGGAGAGGGGAGGCAAAGTGAACTGAGAGGCATCGGAAGAAGCAGTCAGCAGCGCAGAGACGGGCGACAGAGGGGACGGGGCAGCCGGAGGAGAGGAGAAAGGGCAGCAACAAGGCTTCAACTTTCCAGCTAAGTATACCTCCTCCTAGGTGTTGGCCTTTCGTGGCGTCTTTTGAATGTCATGCATTTTTCATGCCTTTGCCTCGGAAATCTCGCCTCTGATTGAGCCAAAGCTTCATGCCACAGACGCTTTTTTCTTAGGTAAACCCCCCAGGTACAGCAGGTATACTCTCAGGTCAATCCTTTCTAGGTGTGTAACCCCCCTTGTGTCTGTGGCTTGTATTTGAGGCTTCACCAGTTGGCCTTCCCTTCCCTCGCTTCACACTTCTGTTGCCTAGTCGATTTTCTGCTGCTGTGTGTGTGCCTTGCAGGTGGAGGGGAGGGGCGTGGGGGTCAACACCGCCACTCCCTCGCGCTCCTCCCCTCGTGGCCGTGCAGGTGGCAGTGGTGGGAGGAGGGGAGGGGGGCAGCACGTCGGCTGAGAAGAGATGGGCGAGTATCGGGATTGGGTCGGCCAAACAAGGTGAGCCCACTTTTCCCTCCCTGCCAGAGACGGTTGCGCACTTTTCTTTTCTTGCTTCCTCCTTGCCTTCACGTTTCTGCCTGCTCTTCTCCCCACTCTCACTGCTGTCCCTTGCTCCCTGCCTCCCTCCCTCTCCCTTCTCCCTCACTGTAGCAAGGCGCCAAGGGGGCAGCAGGAGGGCAGGAGGAGGGAGGGCAGCAGAAGGGAGGGCAGGACGAGGGAGTGCAGGAGGAGGGAGGACAGGAGGAGGGAGGACAGGAGGAGGGAGGGCAGGAGGAGGGAGGACAGGAGGAGGGAGGGCAGGAGGAGGGAGGGCAGTAGGAGGGAGGGCAGTAGGAGGGAGGGCAGTAGGAGGGATGGCAGTAGGAGGGAGGGCAGCAGGAGGGAGGGCAGGAGGAGGGAGGGCAGGAGGAGGGAGGGCAATAGGAGAGGAGAAGGGGCAGCAGCAGGGCTTCATCTTTCCAGCTAAGTATTCCTCCTCTTAGGTGTTGTCTTTCGTGCCTTCTCATGCATTTTTCATGCTTTCCCCTCTGAAATCTCGCCTCTGGTTGAGCCCGCCTCACAAGCCACAGACCCCCCTACTCCTACAGCTGGTAACCCCTCAGGTACAGGTTTAGCCCTTGTAAAGCCTTACAGCCCCCTTCAGGTTAAGCCCTTCAGGTTAAGCCCTTCAGGTTATGCCCTTCAGGTTAAGCCCTTCAGGTTCACTAAGGGGTCTGCGGCTTGTGGATGTGCCTCCTCCAGTGGCGCCCACCTTTTCTCTTCTTGCAGTTTCTTTGCCTAGTCGATTCTTTTGAAGTCCCCGCACAGTACACTCACTGCTGCTGTGTGTGCTCTTTGCAGGTGGAGGGGGAGGGCGTGGGGGTCAACACCGCCACTCCCTCGCGCCCCTCCCCTTGTGGCCGTGCAGGTGGCAGTGGTGGGAGGGGAGGGGGGCACCACTCCACTCGGCTGGGATGGGATGGGAGAGTATTGAGATTGGGTCGACCGAACAAGGTGAGCCTCCTTTCTCGTCCCTGTCTAAGCTGGTTTCGTTTCTTCTCTCGTGCTGCTACTTGGTATTTTTCCATGCTCCCTTATGTTCACTTGATTGTTTTCTTTTGTTCACTTGAGTGTTTCTGTACATGCCAACTCACCAGCTCCTCCTTTCCTTCCTCTCCTCTCCCCCCCTTCCCCTTTCCTGCCCGCTACCAGGCCAGCTGGCATCAAGAGAAGATTGCAGCAGAGGAAGCAGAGTAGCAGGAAGCAGAGTAGCAGACCGACAGCAGCAGGGGCAGCCGCAGAAGCGGCCGCGGCAGCAGCAGTAGCAGCAGTGGGGGCTGGGGGGCTAGAGGGCAGGCTAGGCTAGGTGAGGTACGGTAAGAGGTGAGGTATGGTAACAGGTAAGGTATGTGAAAAGGTGAGTTATAGTTATCTGATTCCCTCCTCTCTCTTGCCCCCCTCTCTCCTGCAGGCTGAGGGTGGGAGCACTGGAGCAAGGGCTGTGGAGTGGAGTCCACCCTTCTCACTCACCTCCTCCTCTCCTCCCTTTTCCCTTCCCTCCCAGCAGCACCCTTCCAGGACCATAGTGGAGTCCCGCCCTCCTAAAATCCACCCGTCCCCTCCTCTCCCTCCTTCCCAGCAGACTGCATCATGGTGCTCTGCATGGCTCTGGTAGGTACAGGTAAGGAGGCATGGGGGTGAAGTGTGGGGTGTTCGGGTGGGTGGGGAGCGTGGGAGCAAGCTGGGAGCTCACTGCCTTTGGGGGGGCAGAACCTTCTAGGGTTGTGGATTGTAGGTGAAGCGGGGTGGGTGGAAACTCCGCGGCAAGGCACTCGGTGCTCAGGTTCCCAATCTGGCGTTCAAGGCTTAATGGACACCGTCAGAGCCGACTGGCCGGCGGCTCTGGTTCGCGTCAGCTCTAGCTACGTCAGGGGTGGGATTTGAGTCTTGGGCTGGAAGCGATTTTCCACTGCCACACCTCTTCCCACAAGGCACAGCCCCTGGGGGTGCTGTTTCCTTGAGGAAGTGGGCTGTCTGCTGCTCCTACAGCTGGCAGGTGAGTGTGGGGACGGGCTGGGTGGGGGGAAAGGGGCCTGAAACCCCTTGGGTGGGTGAGTGGAAGGGAAAGGGGCTGAGTCCCCTTGGGTGGGTGAGTGCAAGTGAAAGGGGCTGAGTCCCCTTGGGTGGGTGAGTGCAAGTGAAAGGGGCCGAGTTCCCTTGGGTGGGTGAGTGCAAGTGAAAGGGGCCGAGTCCCCTTGGGTGGGTGAGTGGAAGTGAAAGGGGCTGAGTCCCCTTTGGTGGGTGAGTGCAAGTGAACGGGGCTGAGTCCCCTTGGGTGGGTGAGCATGATGGTTGGTTGGTGGCACATGATGAGCCGTATGGCACTGATGCCACCTGTTGCATGAGAGCATGATGCTCATGCTTGGTTGGTGGCACATGATGAGCCGTATGGCATTGATGGCACCTGTTGCATGAGAGCATGATTCTTATGCTTGGTTGGTGGCACATGATGAGCTGTATGGCATTGATGCCACCGGATGCATGAAAGTGTATTGTGGTGAGTGTGCTAAGGTGGGTGAGTGGGGGAGTGGGATGGTCAGGTGGGAGGTGGTGGGTAGTGGTGGAGACTGGGTGGTGGAGGTGAGAGGTAGAGGGGGTTGGATGGTCAGGTGGGAGGTTGTTGTGAGGGTGGTGGATTGATGCGGGGGCGAGCAGACGGATGATGGATTGAGCAAGTTTGAGAAAGCGCCAATGATGAAGCACACAAATCGCAGGGGTGGAGAATGGTGGAATAGAAAATGCAGGAGATTTGTGGAGAAGCACCTGGGTGGATGGACGACAGTGTGGTTGGGATGGTAGCTGCTCTGCCACCCACCTTCTGTCGTACAGGTGCTGCTTTCAGCGAGGTGACTGGCGTTGCTGCTTGTTGTGGTGCTTGCTGGCGGTATTGCTGTGGTCGGGAGCATCGGCATCAGTTAGTAGAAAGCAGAGTATGCTGGGTAGGGATTAGAGCTCTCAGGTTTCTCAAGCAATCGTAAGAAGAGCTAGGGTCCATATAGAGCATCTTCTTTCACCACATAAATTACAGAATATTTTACAATGCTATGTCTTACCATGTATGAAGGTGACAGGTGTCCTGGCTAATTAAGGTGGTGCATGCTGAATGGGTAGGTTGAATTTCCTAACAACCATATTGGTAACTATAGTATTTACTGAAAGTATACTCTCATATCTACAGTATCCCATCAGTCATGTTATGCACATTATAATCCCTGAATCTTGCGCTCAACCAGCGGGCGGGCCATCACATGAGCGTCTGACAGGGACATGTGGCTGTTTCCCGCGCAAACTCTTTGAACTGCGAGACTCCTGCGCTGCGGATGTTTCGTGACTTTGCTCACGAAACCTAGTCGCAGTTCTCGCGAACCACCCTTCCCCAAGCGAAAGGCCAAATTGATCGGCTCACGAAACTCTCTGAGGCTCTGTGCCGACACTACGACGGCAAGTGTCTTTCCTTCGGAAAGATGGTTCCTGACTTCCGTCGCATCTCTCCCACGTCCATGTAAATCTCCCTTCACCACTCTGGATCGCCCTGGAATACCGGAATTCTTCAACTGAACCCCTCTCTTACACCACCGCTTTGTGATTTTCCTGATTTTCACTTTCGAGCTTTCCTGAACGCCATTCCTACCGCAACTCTCTCAGACTCCTCGTTCGGTTCCCTGTAATCTATGGCTGTCGCCAGAAGTTCCATCCTTACCAAACAATAATTTGGCCCTAACCTTAGTCGCGGTTTGATTCTTAGTAGTTTGTGCTCCTATCCATGTTCGGAGTATCTTTGTTCGAGTTTCACGGTCTCTGATGTGGGATTCTTCACGGCTCGGCTCACTTCGTTAGCAATCCATGGCTGTCGTCTTCCCCTACTATCACAGACCGATAGCTGTCTCGCAAGCGCAATCATAGTCTGTATACTTTTTTGGCTACGCTACTAGACATTAAGAGAAGCTCGATTATAGCACTAGCAAACTTCTCTCGTCCAATCCTGATAGTTTACCGTAGCATTGATTCGGCCTCTTTGTCAAATACCAGTAAGAACTTACCGTTGACGGTAGTCGGAGACGGTTCCTAAGGCTTGGCGACGTTCGTAACGCCGTTCACTTGCACGTCGTGTTTCAGACTGAGACAAAAACGCCGTCTAGATTACACGTAGGCAGCGATAACGATTTCTGCGTTTAGGAGTAGAAATTTTGTTTCCTGAGTGTGACGATCGGGACGGTTTCCTTGGAAGGGGTGATCGAGACGGCGATTCTTGATTACGATTATCTAGACAAGGGAAGCGGTTGAGGACAATCGGCGAATTTTGAAGGTGATTATTGAAACGAGGAATACTGACGGAACGAGACGGTGATTATTGAAACGAGGAGTACTGATGGAACGAGACGGCATTTTTTGACGGTGAAGATTGAAACGAGGAGTGCTGACGGCAACGATCGAGACGGCGATTTCTGACGGTGAAAATTGTGATGAGGTGCTCGTACGGCGACGATTGACGTCTTCTCATGTTGACAAGTGGGACCTTTGAGAGTTCTGCTACTGATCTTCTGCCAGTGACGATCTTCTGACCGTGACGATTGACGTTTTCTGATGTTGACGAATGGGAGTTTTTGGAGTTGACGATCATTGGGACGGAAGTTGCGGAGATGACTCATCGATGATCGAGGTTGAGACGGCGAGATTTCGTATCTTACGTTTCTGATCGAGATTGAGACGGCGCCTCCTGATGAAGTTCTTCAACTTTTACGGTTGACGATCGAGGCAGTGAAGGCGAAGGCGAAGGCGAGCGCTCGAGCAGAGAAGCAGAGAAGCGGAAAAGCGAAGTTGATTGAGTGGTGACGATGGCGATCGCGGCGAGGACTTGGTACGGCGATGTTGGCGTCTTTTGATGGCGGCGATAAGACCGGGAGTTGGCGATTGGCGGCCGCTGACCCCGTGACGATCTTCTGACGGCGAGTTACGATCTTTTTCAGACGATCCAGTCGCCGTCGTATGGCGTTGATGCTGAAGATCCAGTCGCTGTCGTATGGAGTTGATGCTGACGATCCAGTCGCCGTCGTATGGCGTTGATGCTGACGGTCCAGTCGCCGTCGCATGGCGTTGATGCTGACGATCCACTCGCCGTCGTATGGCGTTGATGCTGACGATCCAGTCGCCGTCGTATGGCGTTGATGCTGACGATCCAGTCGCCGTCGTATGGCGTTGATGCTGACGATCGCGACGGAGGGTTTCGAAGGTCGCGAGTTGGCGCTGACGCTGACGACGGCGCTGACGCTGACGACGGCGCTGACGCTGACGATGGCGCTTGTTGGCGGGAAGGCGAAGGCCGAGGCGATTGGTGGAACATGATGAGCGCAGAAGCTGGAGGCGGAGGAGGAGGAGGAGGAGGAGGAGGAGGAGGCGGAGGAGGAGGCGGAGGCAGACGCGGAGGCGGAGGCGATGCATCATGTGCAGCTAAGTCCCTTCCTGCCCCCTTACTCGCTCTCCTTACTCACCCCTCGTATTGCTTTCTGTCTTTGGATCATTTTCTTGTCGCTTTGCTTTCTCGGCGCATGCTCGAAATCAAAACGTCAATTCCGCGTGGCGATGGTAGCACATGGCACCGGGGCGGCTTGAGCTCACACTAGAGTTGTAGGGGGATAGAATAGAATCCATTCATACACATGCTCGCGTCTCTCTCTTACCCCAGTCCACCCTCGCATACTAGCTCGCTGCCCTAGTGCCTTGTGCTACCATTGCCTTTCGTGTGTTCAGCTTGTTAGTTGTTCTTCTGCATTTTTCGCTGAGGGAATTCTCGTTTTCATACTTGTTTCTGCCTTCATTCCAATGCTTGCTCCTACTGGACCAGATTCTTAATCTCCTTCCCCTCTGCCTTCTCTCCCACCCCCATTTCCTTGTCCCAGGGTCAAAGCGGAGGGAGGGCAGTGGGATGACGCACGGCGTGCATCCTGCATGCCCTGCTGACCTCGCCACTCCCTCACGTGCCAAACGAGCTCGACTGGCGCTGCATTCTCCAGTGCCTCCTCCACTCTACACGCCATACGAGCTGCTGCTGGGAGTGCCGCCGATGGGAGTCCTCTGCTGCTGGGGGGATCACGATGGGAGGAGCAGCGCCTTGCACCCGCCTTCTCCACTCTCCCGTTGTCCTCCTCTCCTCGCCACTCGTTCCTCTACTCCAGCTGCAGCAGCCCTCCCAAGGGGACCTCCCCAGGTGACAGACAGACAGCAGCCGGTAATAGGTAAGCTGTAAGTGCTGCTGCGGCTGCCACCACACCCTCCCGCGCCACTGCTCCTACAATTCCACCATCCGAGTGGCGCTGCCATGCCAACACACCACCAGCACCAGCTTCAAGGTGGATACCCCAAGAGTGGGCAACAATCCAAGGGCGGTATTCCACACGCACTCATTCGTCCCTCCTTGCAGCCTCTTGCCTCTCGTGCGTCGCGTTTTGCACTCACTCATTCGCCTTTCCTTGCTGCCTCTCTCGCTGCCTCTTCCACACCTTTGCTTCCCCCCCCTCCCGTGTCCAGTAACCCATTTCCTTGTCGCAGGCCTAAGGAGTGCGGTGCGGGCCCGCCTGGACAGCCCTCTCCTCCCAGTAGCTGAAGGGGGCAGCTGCAACCTAAGAGAGAAAAGGCAATCGAAGTGAGCAAAGGCAGGAGAGCGATCGGAGGCTGTGGTGCTTCAGTGGTGGTAACAGAAAGGTACAACAGCAACTGAGCATCTTGTGGTATGAACTCCGTGTCTCTGCTCCTGGCTTGCAATGCAAGATGCTGTTACGTTCTTTTGGTCCCATTCGCTTTCCCTTGTTTTTTCGAGTATACTTACTCCGTTTTTTTCGTCCACCTTATCTCATTTCAGGAGGCAAGCATGGGAGCAACTCTCAATGGAATACAAGCATTTGTGAGCCGTCTCGTTGTGGTGAGTGCCCGCCGCGCCCCCTTCTCCTGCACCCATTTCCTTCCAATCTTGCCATTTTTTCTCTCCATCTTCCTGCTGCCATCATCGCGCCACGTCCACTCTTCCGCTTCCTTACACACTCTACTCGTCTTTCAACTTTTGCTGCCCTCGTCCCTTCTGCCGCCCTCTTCTCTTCTGGGAGCAGCCAAGGAGCAGAGGCAACGCAAGAGAAGAGAGGCAGCCGGGACTTCAGGTCAAGGCAATTCACCTGCGATGTGAGGCTCTCCGCTTGCTATTCCCTGTTATTTTGTCGCACAAGCGTTTGACCCAAGCCCTTGCTCCTCATGCTCCAACTTCGCTTGTTGAAATTGATCCTAAGCCCTGAACCCCAAACCCTTCGCTCTTCCTCATGCCCTTGTCGCCCTTTCCCATGCACTCATCGTTTTCCAGCAACAGCAGCGACAGCAGTAGTGGAGATGACTCCTCAGGAGGCCAGGGAGGGACTACAGGCTCGAGAGGGATGACGTCTAACTGTAAGTCTTGCTTGCAGTTTTTCGCTTTTGCTTGAGCATCTGTGCCACTTGAACTTGCTGCTTTTCGCTTCTTCCTCTTTCACCACCTTCGCATATGTACTTGCCCCTTTCGCCACCATAATAGTTTCCCACCTATGTTTCTCCTGCTCTTTCTTCTCTTGCTCTTGCTGATCTCTTCTTTCAATGGTCTTGCGCTTCGCCTTCAGGTGTGACGGACAGTAATGGAGAGAGCAACTACAAGTCTACGGTTGAGCGGAAGCGTCAACATGAGGTCACTCTGTTTCCAACCCGCTCTTTTGGGCACATCCTTTCTCTAGCCCCTGTTTTGGTGGTCTCATGCTTTCTCTAGCCCCTGACCTCAAACCTGACCTCAAACCTGACCTCAAACCAAACCTCAAACCAGACCTCAAACCTGACCTCAAACCTGACCTCAAACCTGACCTCAAACTTGACCTCAAACCTGACCTAAAACCTGACCTCAAACCTGACCTCAAACCTGACCTCTAACCTGACCTCAACCTGACCTCAAACCTGATGTCAAACCAGACGTCAAACCTGATGTCAAACCTGACGTCAAACCTGACCTCAAACCTGACTTCAAACCTGACCTCAAACCTGACCTCAAACCTGACGTCAAGCCTGACATCAAACCAGACCTCAAACCTGACCTCAAACCTGACTTCAAACCTGACCTCAAACCTGACCTCAAACCTGACGTCAAACCTGACATCAAACCAGACCTCAAACCTGACCTCAAACCTGACTTCAAACCTGACCTCAAACCTGACCTCAAACCTGACGTCAAACCTGACGTCAAACCTGACATCAAACCTGACCTCGAACCAGACGTCAAACCTGACGTCAAACCTGACATCAAACCAGACCTCAAACCTGACCTCAAACCTTACCTCAAACCTGACCTCAAACCTGACCTCAAACCTGACCTCAAACCTGACGTCAAACCTGATGTCAAACCTGACGTCAAACCTGACGTCAAACCTGACGTCAAACCAGACCTCAAACCTTACCTCAAACCTGACCTCAAACCTTACCTCAAACCTGACCTCAAACCTGACCTCAAACCTTACGTCAAATTAGACCTCAAACCTGACCTTAAACCTGACCTCAAACCTGACCTCAAACCTGACCTCAAACCTGACGTCAAATTAGACCTCAAACCTGACCTTAAACCTGACCTTCAACCTGACCTCAAACCTGACCTCAAACCTGACCTCAAACCTGACTTCAAACCTGACCTCAAACCTGACCTCAAACCTGACGTCAAACCTGACCTCAAACCTGACCTCAAACCTGACCTCAAACCTGACGTCAAACCTGACTTCAAACCTGACCTCAAACCTGACCTCAAACCTGACCTCAAACCTGACCTCAAACCTGACTTCAAACCTGACGTCAAACCTGACCTCAAACCTGACGTCAAACCTGACGTCAAACCTGACATCAAACCTGACGTCAAACCTGACGTCAAACCTGATGTCAAGCCAGACCTCAAACCTGACCTCAAACCTGACCTCAATCCTGACCTCAAACCTGACCTCAAACCTGACCTCAAACCTGACCTCAAACCTGACCTCAAACCTGACGTCAAGCCTCACCTCAAACCTGACGTCAAACCTGACATCAAACCTGACCTCAAACCTGACGTCAAACCTGACCGCAAAACTTACCTCAAACCTGACCTCAAACCTGACCTCAAACCTGACCTCAAACCTGACTTCAAACCTGACGTCAAACCTGACCTCAAACCTGACGTCAAACCTGACGTCAAACCTGACATCAAACCTGACCTCAAACCTGACCTCAAACCTGACCTCAAACCTGACCTCAAACCTGACCTCAAACCTGAAGTCAAACCTGACATCAAACCAGACCTCAAACCTGACCTCAAACCTGACCTCAAACCTGACCTCAAACCTGACGTCAAACCTGACATCAAACCTGACCTCTAACCTGACGTCAAACCTGACGTCAAACCTGACGTCAAACCAGACCTCAAACCTGACCTCAAACCTTACCTCTAACCTGACCTCAAACCTGACCTCAAACCTGACCTAAAACCTGACGTCAAACCTGACGTCAAACCTGACCTCAAACCTGACCTCAAACCTGATGTCAAACCTGACCTCAAACCTGACCTCAAACCTGACGTCAAACCTGACATCAAACCTGACGTCAAACCTGACGTCAAACCTGACGTCAAACCTGACCTCAAACCTGACGTCAAACCTGACGTCAAACCTGACGTCAAACCAGACCTCAAACCTGACCTTCAACCTGACCTCAAACCTGACCTCAAACCTGACCTCAAACCTGACTTCAAACCTGACCTCAAACCTGACCTCAAACCTGACGTCAAACCTGACGTCAAACCTGACGTCAAACCTGACCTCAAACCTGACCTTCAACCTGACCTCAAACCTGACCTCAAACCTGACCTCAAACCTGACTTCAAACCTGACCTCAAACCTGACCTCAAACCTGACGTTAAACCTGACGTCAAACCTGACGTCAAACCTGACCTCAAACCTGACCTCAAACCTGACTTCAAACCTGACCTCAAACCTGACCTCAAACCTGACCTCAAACCTGACCTCAAACCTGACCCAAACCTGACGTCAAACCTGACCTCAAACCTGACGTCAAACCTGACGTCAAACCTGACATCAAACCTGACCTCAAACCTGACCTCAAACCTGACCTCAAACCTGACCTCAAACCTGACGTCAAACCTGACGTCAAACCTGACATCAAACCTGACCTCAAACCTGATGTCAAACCTGACATCAAACCTGACGTCAAACCTGACGTCAAACCAGACCTCAAACCTGACCTTAAACCTGACCTCAAACCTGACCTCAAACCAGACCTTAAACCTGACCTCAAACCTGACTTCAAACCTGACGTCAAGCCTCACCTTAAACCTGACGTCAAACCTGACATCAAACCTGACCTCAAACCTTACCTCAAACCTGACGGCAAACCTTACCTCAAACCTGACCTCAAACCTTACCTCAAACCTGACCTCAAAGCTGACGTCAAACCTGACCTCAAACCTACCCTCAAACCTGACCTCAAACCTGACGTTAAACCTGACGTCGAACCTGACGACGAACCTGACTTCAAACCTGACCTAAAACCTGACATCAAACCTGACGTCAAACGTGACGTCAAACCTCACCTCAAACCTTACCTCAAACCTGACGTCAAACCAGACCTCAAACCTGACCTCAAACCTAACGTCAAACCTGACCTCAAACCTGACCTCAAACCTAACGTCAAACCTGACCTCAAACCTGACGTCAAACCTGATATCAAACCTGACGTCAAATCTGACCTCAAACCTGACCTCAAACCTGATATCAAACCTGAAGTCAAACCTGACCTCAAACCTGACGTCAAACCTGACGTCGAACCTGACGACGAACCTGACCTCAGACCTTACGTCAAACCTGACGTCAAACCTGACCTAAAACCTGACATCAAACCTGACGTCAAACCTGACCTCAAACGCCTCAAACTTGACCTCAAACCTAACGTCAAACCTGACCTCAAACCTGACCTCAAACCTAACGTCAACCCTGACCTCAAACCTGACCTCAAACCTGATATCAAACCTGACGTCGAACCTGACCTCAAACCTGACCTCAAACCTGATACCAAACCTGACCTCAAACCTGACGTCAAACCCCTGACGTCAAAGCTGACGTCAAACCCGACCTCAAACTTACCTCAAACCTGACCTCAAACCTGACCTCAAACCTGACCTCAAACCTGACCTCAAACCTGATTTCAAACCTGACGTTAAGCCTCACCTCAAACCTGACGTCAAACCTGACATCAAACCTGACCTCAAACCTGACCTCAAACCTTACCTCAAACCTGACCGCAAACCTTACCTCAAACCTGACCTCAAACCTGACCTCAAACTTGACCTCAAACCTGGCGTCAAACCTGACCTCAAACCTGACCTCAAACCTGAACTCAAACCTGACCTCAAACCTGACGACAAACCTGACGTAAAACCTGGCGTCAACCCTGACTCAAACCTGACCTTTAACCTGATCTTAAACCTGACGTCAAAGCTGACATCAAACCTGACCTCAAACCTGATGTCAAACCTGACGTCAAACCTGACGTCAAACCTGACGTCAAACCAGACCTCAAACCTGACCTTAAACCTGACCTCAAACCTGACCTCAAACCTGACCTCAACCTGACCTCAAACCTGATGTCAAACCTGACGTCGAACCTGACGTCAAACCTGACGTCAAACCTGACCTCAAACCTGACCTCAAACCTGACCTCAAACCTGACCTCAAACCTTACCTCAAACCTGACCTTAAACCTGACCTCAAACCTGACCTCAAACCTGTTGCAAGCCTCACCTTAAACCTGACGTCAAACCTGACATCAAACCTGACCTCAAACCTTACCTCAAACCTGACTTCAAACCTGACCTCAAACCTGACCTCAAACCTTACCTCAAACCTGACCGCAAACCTTACCTCAAACCTGACCTCAAACCTTACCTCAAACCTGACCTCAAATCTGACGTCAAACCTGACCTCAAACCTACCCTCAAACCTGACCTCAAACCTGACGTCAAACCTGACGTCGAACCTGACGACGAACCTGACCTCAAACCTGACCTAAAACCTGACATCAATCCTGACGTCAAACCTGACGTCAAACCTCACCTCAAACCTTACCTCAAACTTTACGTCAAACCAGACCGCAAACCAGACCTCAAACCTGACCTTAAACCTGACCTCAAACCTGACGTCAGACCTGACCTTTGCTGCGCTCCTCTCTTCTGCTGCGCCCCTCGTTTCTGCTGCCCTCCGTTCTTCTGCTGCCCTTCTCTCTTCTGCTTTCCTCCTCTCTTCTGCTGTCCTCCTCTCTTCTGCTGTCCTTCTCTCTTCTGCTTTCCTCCTCTCTTCTGCTGCCCTTCTCTCTTCTGCTTTCCTCCT